GCTGAAATATTTTTAACAGACACTATCTTACTTTTCAAGTATAGCAACATGTATATATGTTTATATATTTATCTAGTGGCTCCCAAGGCATGTTAACTGTTTCTGTTAGTGCTTGAATTGTAAAATTCCAGGTCATTGTATTGGACTTTATACCATATGTTCTAAGTTTCTGTAAGGAGCATGTATTCAGTCTAGAACTGTGAAAACTAAGAACAAATGAAGCAGAAGCTGGGTTTTGTCTGTTGTTCTGTCTGTAAGCTGGATTCTGCTCTGCTGGGTTCACCCTGTTGATGGGAAAACCAGCAGGTGCTGAGGTCCAGAGGCCTCAAGCTGCTTGGATTAGCTGGTGGCCACGGGCAGTTCTCCTCAGCTGTTGGGGCCTCTCCATGTCTTATTATTAAGGACCACCTGCAATAATGTAATTTGAACATTCTGTACGCTTGAAAGTGCCAAATACAAAATTTCATCAGAGACGTCAAGCTAATTTGTAGACAAGAAAATCAGGTGGAGAGAAGCACATAGTTGTTTGGATGTGGGTGTGTAAACCAGGCCACTGCTGAGATTGTACTTTGTTTTTCCGATTCCTGGGATCTGAACACAGCGGGACTTGTGAGACCAAACTCCTGGGCCATGAAATGCCAAGCTGGTTGGTATAAACAACCAAGCAAGTCATGGAGAAACAATACAAGTGGGTGGATAGTGAGCACACAGCCCACTTATAGGTTCTGACCTCTCAGGAAGGGGGCCTGGGGGTCCTTGATACTTGTTCCCTGATAGGCTATGGCAGCAAAGAGGGAACGAGGGAACAGTATATGAAACGGTCCTCCATATTCATGTATCTGCTCCTGGAGGGCCCTTTGACATAGCGAAGGGTACTTGTTCACTTCGTACTAGAGTTTGAAAATTTAGAGACACAAACCGCCCCTCTGTACGATGTACAGGGCAAACTGCTTTTCCCAGTGAAAGAAACAAGCATATAGAACTTAGTTCCTTGGCCGGGGCAGTCGTATGGTGCTTATGAGCCCATCCATTGGAATTGGTGGGCCTGGGAGTGAGTCCTCCTCTCTTCCAAGCTGTAGGCTTGTAGGTTACATGGAACCATGTAACACATGGGTTGTGCCTAGCTCAGTACCTGTTGCATAGTAGGCACTCCTAGTAGGTGAAACAGGTTTAGAATAATTTGTGGGTGAGATGATTGGTTTTTAAAGGGCATCTGTATAACCTGTGAGGTTGTGAACTAGAAAATGGCCCAGGAGCCCTTCTCTGATATCCACATCCCTGCCCATGTGTGATTTTTAGAGCATCCTCCTCAAGTGGACTAAAGGCTTCAAGGCATCTGGCTGCGAGGGTGAGGACGTGGTTACACTGCTGAAGGAAGCCATCCACCGGCGAGAGGTGGGAGAGGCGTGACATGACGCCCGAAGTGATCTGTGTGTTCAGAGCTGGGGGAAGTGTTAAGTGCAGTTGTGTTGGTCAAAGGGAGAGTTAACGTAGTCCTTCAGCAGTTGGTGAGTGTACACTGTGTGTCAAGCCCTGCTCTTGGCAAATGGGGATTCAGGAACGCCCACAGAAAACCCTTGTTATATAAACAATTCCACGAGCTAATGTCAGGTGCTCTTGAGCTATGAAGGAAGATGAAGTTGGGTGAGGACAGAGTGAGTGGGCTGGGGAAGGGCAGTCTTTTAAATAGCATACTCAGGGAAGGTCTCTGAAGAGGTGATATTTGAGCAGAGAAAAATGAGCCCTGCCTTATAAGTTTTAGATACATTTAAATCTCCCTTGCAAGGGTCTGAAGGGAGAATATTGTGGTTCACTTGTGGATTGGGATCTGCTGTTGCTCTCAGGAGTTTGACCTGGATGTGGTTGCTGTGGTGAATGACACAGTTGGGACTATGATGACCTGTGGCTATGAAGACCCTCACTGTGAAGCTGGCCTCATTGTTGGTAAGGGCTCGGGCTGTCCTTCCTGTGTGGGGACACACAACCCAGGGTGGGAGGACAGAAAGTGCAGAGTGAGGCCCTGACTGACATCTCTTGATTGGCAGGCACGGGCAGCAATGCCTGCTACATGGAGGAGATGCGGAATGTTGAGCTGGTGGAAGGGGAAGAGGGGCGGATGTGTGTCAACATGGAGTGGGGGGCCTTCGGGGACAATGGATGCCTAGATGACTTCCGCACAGAATTTGATGCAGCTGTGGATGAACTTTCCCTCAACCCTGGCAAACAGAGGTAGGTACCCAACTGCATGTAGGCCCTGGTATGTTCATCTCAGAGCTGAACAGTGATGAGTGATCTGGTCCTCCACAACAGCAAATCCCGGGACACTCATTCTCTTGAGATGTTAATAGAAGAGATTTCTTTGGAAAGGGCTTCTTGTCAAATACATCTGGAAAGTTCTGGGTTAAGTCCTTTTCCCCCTGCTGGACTGTGATGCTCTTGAAGTCCAATTGGGAAAACAAATCACAACAGCTATGTTGCAAGGAGAATTTCATATAGGGAACTGGTCACACAGGTTTTAGAGGGATGAAAAGACAAAAAGGGGATGCTGAGGAGCAGTTAGTACATGTAGCAATCAGCTCCTACCCTGAGGACTAGGAGAACAGGTGGGAGAGAGTATTAAAACCTAGATCTGGAACTTGAGGAAAAACAGACAGTTGAACCACCTGCTGCCATCAGGGTGAAGAAGCATTGCTGGGGTGAGGCAGATAGGAATAGGAAGCAATAGAAGCAAACTTCTTTCTCCTCCATCTATCCAGTATATAGCACCCTCTACTGTCATACTGGACAAGGGGTTAGCCCCAGCATCACAAAGCCCCTGGTATGGTGGGATCCCATTAGGAAGAGGTTGCACATAGTGTTTCCTAACTAGATTAATCAGGGACCATACTTCTGCAGAATATACTTTGCAAAATGTTTGTTTATAGTAGAGGTCACAGGCTAAAATGCCTCCAGGAGCCAGGCAGGCAACATTAATGAAAGAAACAGGCTGGAGTAAGACAAGATTGAATGATGATGGGGTTTGGTCGAAACTGAGAACATTGACTTTTTAAAGGCACTAGGTAGAGCCAGAAGACCCTCATGCCATTGAGTAGTCATGTTTCGTTCTAGTGGCCAGAACAGGGGTCTCCAGCTGGCACTAGTTACTTGAGCTATAAGTGATTAGGCTGAAGAGAAAGCATGCTAAATCTCAGCAACGCAGGGGATTAAGACAGCATCTTACCCTTCTGGAAGTGTGGTGGGGTTTGGGTGTGCGTTCCTTCTTGAGGAGTTGGGAATAAGCCTTGGAAGGGAAATGAAACCATAAAATGGGGTCAATCTCAGGGAACCCCTTGGGCCTCAGGACACGTTTTACTGAAGGCTATGAGTCAGTATGTGTGGATGCCAGGAATCCTGCCTCAGCGAGTCAAATAGCATTTCCTTCCTACGAAGGGGAATCTGTATGCCTTCTACCTTCTAATGCAATGCAGGTGACGGAGCTGGTGTATCTCAGCACATCCCACCACCTTCCTTCTTAATCTCCATGAACATTACCTGCATTGCAGGTTCGAGAAAATGATCAGTGGCATGTACTTGGGCGAAATTGTTCGTAACATCCTCATCGATTTCACCAAACATGGGCTGCTCTTCCGTGGCCGCATCTCGGAGCGGCTCAAGACACGGGGAATCTTTGAAACCAAGTTCCTGTCTCAGATTGAGAGGTGAGAATTTAGGGCCTGGAATAGGATAGACTGTATATCCTCCTTTTCATGGACAGACAAGCTGGGATTTCCACAGTTCAAGTAAGATCAGGGTGTGGCTTACATAAAGGTCAGTTTAGTAGCTCACATGTTTGTATCTATATAGTGTTGTTTTAAAGTACGTTATGAACAGTTGACATTTTAAGGGAAAATATATAATATTCTCATGAAAAATCACGGTAAGCTGGATGAGTCTGTGCAAAGAAGTATTGTTGGGTTTTAGACCAATTTCAAAGGTAGAAAGAAATATAGCTGCTCATAGAATGTAAATTGGAATGCACGGAGAAGATAACCCACTAAAACACTTATGCTTGGCAAAAGGGTTCTTCTTAACTGCTGGCTGCAGTAATAAGGCAACCAGGATTGAGTGAAGTTGGCATGTCAGGCAGTGCAGAAACATGCCTTGTGGCGGCTCATTAAAGCAAAGCCTTCTTCCTCCAGTCTAATGGTGGAGAAGTCTGCTCCAAATTGGAATACTGAATTTCAGAGCCTTTTAAAAATTAATGCTGTGTCATTATTACTCTCATGCATATAGGAAAACAGGAACTGGTTGGTGTACATGAGTGGGGCCCTAGGGCATCTGCACCAGTGAATAGAATATTGTTCTAGTTTGCATGTCTGTTTATTTTCTTCTTATAGTTTTATTTATCTTTGTTTCATAAATAGTGCACAAGTAGATTTCAGACAACCCAGAGTGGGGCAGTAGAAATAGAACAGGCATTTAATGTTGGTGGGTGATGCTTGTCCTGTTGACCTGTGAACAATGCGAGATTGGACAGGAAAGGGCTTTGCAACTGAAAACTGTCGCCTACGAGCATCATCACTGTCTTTACTGTCAGTATTTCCAAATAAGTGGAATACATGGACAGTGAATTTCCTTTTGTTTTGAGTGTCAGTTTTGTAGCAGCAGTGCTCTACCTTGCCTGGGCAAAGTGGCATAAGGAGCTGTTTCTTCGTGTTCTCTCTGTGAGGGTCAGTGAGATGAGCACTAGTTCCTGAACTGAGTTTAAGAACGGAACCACCTCTCAGGGGCAGTGGCTTTTGCCCCCAGCTCTCAGAAGGCCAGGTCCCCCAGAGCCACTTCTGATGAAGGAGCCAGGCCCCGGAGTGGCAGGCCACCATACCCTCTAGGTATGTGACTGACCACTCACTGTCTCCTCCTGGCCCAGTGACTGCCTGGCCCTGCTGCAGGTCCGCGCCATCCTGCACCACTTAGGGCTCGAGAGCACCTGTGATGACAGCATCATTGTCAAGGAGGTGTGCACTGTGGTGGCGCGGCGGGCAGCCCAGCTCTGTGGTGCAGGCATGGCCGCCGTGGTGGACAAAATACGAGAGAACCGTGGGCTGGACACCCTCAAAGTGACAGTGGGCGTGGACGGGACCCTCTACAAGCTACATCCTCAGTGAGTGCCTGATCTCCACTCTTCCTGCCCATCTTTCTCCCTCTCCATTCTTTCCTTGCTTTCCTTTCTCTCTCTCTCTCTCTCTCTCTCTCTCTCTCTCTCTCTCTCTCTCTCTTTATTTTATGGCAGATTACTCCTACCATGGGTGAGTGCTGGGGTGATTAAGTCTATTGCTTTCTTTTCCCCCTCCATATATCTACGTATGCATCTACATTGTTTAGTTTTACTTAATTTTGAACTTACCATATGACATCTTTTCTTTTGTGACTGGCTTTTCTCACACCACATTTATGGTTTTGAGATGCATCCACATTGAAGTCTGCAATCAGTTAATTCATTTTCAAGGCTGTATAGCATACCTTTGAATGACTATACTATAATTTATTCTAATGATGCATATTTGGGTTATTTCTAGGTTTTGACTATTACAAGCAGTGCTCCTGTCAACATTCTAGTAAATGTATGCTGGAACTCTGGATCAAGATTTTTTTCTACAGTCTAGGGTAGGGGTTGGCAGATTATAGCCACAAGTGTTTTTGTAACTAAAGTTTTACTGGAATGCAGCCACACCCACTTGTTTATGTGTTGTCTATGGCTGCTTTTGGTTATAACAGCAGACCATATGACCTACAGAGCTCAAAATACCTATCGTCTGGCCCTCTGTAGAAGTTTTCCACCCTCACCCGTGGTATGGAAGTACTGAATTCCCTTTTGTTTTTACTCTTTTTCCTGTCTTTCTCCATCTCTTCTCCCTTTTCTCCTCTCATCACTATTTCTCTTTTCCTTTCTTCCCTCACTTGCATATGTTGAATAAATTGTTTTAAAATTAGGAAGTGCCCAGTCCCTCTCCCCTAGAAGCTCTTCAATTAAAAGTTAAAAGAATAGAGCTGTGCCCCTTGCCTGGACATGAAGTAGGATGGGGAGACTCATCGATTGAATTGTCACCTGCTGTCACCATGATTGTTTCAGGGAGCTGAGAAACTTGCCCAGAGTCTACTCAGATAGTGAAAAGACTGGACCTTGAGAAGTTCCAAGTTTCTCTTGTTGATTATCAGTGTCATTGTGAAAATAGGAACCTCAGTCCCAAGTGAGGGTCGGAAGGGGGACAGAAGTCTAGCCACCAGCACTGGGGCTTGGTATTAGGAGCCTCTGTTCTCAGCTCTGCAGATGGGGAGGAGCAACTTGTCCCTGCTCTGGTGGGGAGATGGTGACGAACGGTTTCTTCCTCTAGTCCCATATCAGGAAGAATCTGTGATTTCTGTCATCTCTCAACACACCCTCCTAAGTCTGCTCCTTTTGCCTTTAATGACATTTTGGGTTAGATATGAGTCTGAAGTGAGTTAATACCTCTGGAAAATAGAATATCACACATGTGGCACTTCATCCTTCCCTCCAGAGTTGATGAACAGGTTATATATACACTTCTGCAAGGTATGCTTGTGGCGTCCACGACTGTTGAACTTCTCTTTCACTGCTTAGTTTTAAGAACACAGCTTGCCAGAATCTCAGACTTTTGTCCTAGAGTTGAATCTTAGCTTCCCACTTGCCCACTGTGACATAGAATTTGGGCATGTTGCTAGTCTCTCCAAGTTTCAGTTTTCTGAAACACAATACATAATGTTTAATACATGGTAGCTCTCATCCTCTTTCCCATCTCAATTATTCCTGGGTTTCCAGCATCACTTCTTAGGGTCCCATCTCTGAGGACACAAATCAATTGTGACTAAAGTATTTTTTCTGTCTTCTTCCCAACTTTTCCAGCTTTGCCAAAGTCATGCATGAGACGGTGAAGGACTTGGCTCCAAAATGTGATGTGTCCTTCCTGGAGTCGGAGGATGGCAGTGGGAAGGGGGCGGCTCTCATCACTGCTGTGGCCTGCCGCATCCGAGAGGCTGGACAGCGGTAGAGCCCCCGAAATTGGAAGGACTTCCTCTGGTTTCCCTTCTTTCCTGCTTTAAATTATAAGTTGATCCCCTTGTGTCAGAGACAGACCCCTTGGCTTTTCCTTGGCAGAGAGGACCTTATTGGACTGGGTTTTGTCTCTGTCTACTCACTGTAGAGTTTGGTACCCAAGGCTTAGCCCTCCTGAGATAAATACAATTTGAAGTAAGGATTTGTTCACACTTGTCACAGCCATTACCATTGGTTCTCTTAAAACTTGAAAAAAAATTTAACCTCTAGTAATCCCCCTGGCCAAATTCCATGTCCCTGTATAATCCTACAGGGTGGGGACACTAATGAAAAAATATGGTTGCTTCACCTTGGAGCCTGAACATGACATTTCTAGGTGGAGAGCATCCCCCAGCATGGAAGTTGATGCTATTTCTCCTCTCAGAGATCTGGGAGGTCTCCACTGACTTGAGCCTGATTCTCCCATAGGCAGGGAGGAGGGGCGGTAATGTAGGGGAAACCCATGGATAGCCATGTGGCCGCCCCTCTTCAACCTCATCTTTAAGCGTTTGCCTAGTGGGTTCCAGTGGATGCTGTTCCTGGAATCGAAGCATCCTGAGTCTGAGCAAGCAAAACCAAAGCCAAGAGTCCTGTGAGTGGGCTTGTTGTCACATCTCCTTGTTCGTTCACAAGTCATCCATAAGCAGTGGACCTTTGGGGGAGGGAAGACTTTTTGGTCTGTTTAAAAATTTTTTCCTGCAGAGGTGGAAACACTGTATTTTCATTTTAATTTATATTTGAAATTTATTTAGTTCATGAAGTACATCTGCTCCTTCATTTTGACACTGTACGTAACGATCGGTTGTATGTAACGTATTTATATGTTAATTTGTTATGTCTGTAAATACACAGGGTCTCATTAGTAGATCAGTGTAGTTAAAGGATGGAAGATGAAGATACTGATTGGTTACTAGAAATACCTCATTCATCTTCAGGAAAAGAAGGAAAGCCTCTTTAGGGTGAGTGAATGGCCAAGCAGCTCCTTGCCAGCTCCTTTCCCTGCATACTCAGAAACTTGGAAGGTGGCTGGGGACAGAGTGAAGGAGGCTGGGGCTATGGATTGAAGAAACCACACTAACTGGCTGCTCAATCTAGGGAGTTTCCTGGAGCCATATTACAGGAGATGCTAACAAAGGAAACAGGAATCATTTCAAATAGACTCTGCTTAGAAATCTTCATTCTTAGGGCAGTTATTAGTATTTTAAACCTCTCTAACAATATAAAGGAAGCCACCAAAAACATTGAAAAAATTGTCTAATTGTTGATAGCAAACCAAACCAAAACAATCAAACAAACGAAACTTCAGGGAAAACACTTTTGGTGGATTTGTGCCCTCCTAGCAAACTTCGCCTTCAATTGTTTTGTAAATGTTCTACCGGAGGTGTTATCCACAGACTTCCTTACACTGAGCTGTTTTTACAAGAAGTGTTTATTTCAAACTGCTTGGTGCGGGGTTGGGATGGTGGTGAGGGGAGACATAAAACCTTCCTTACCCTGCTGTTTAGAGTGGTTAATTCTGAATCTGAAAGCCTACTTCTGCCCTAAAATGATCACACCCCCACACATTAAACCTGAATACTTCATAATAAAGAGGGGATGGCCTTTAAACAATGTTGTGTAGGATACGAGGATCAAAACAGAAAAATGGAAAGACACAACTCAACAGCACCCAATTTTTGCACATTTATCAAACTTGTACTGGAACAGTGTCTAGATTTGTGTATCATTAAAGGATGCCCAAGAAATAGAAATGAACCTTAACTTTTAAACTTGAAAATTAGGCACCATCTATGAAATTGCACATTTTTAAAAGGTAGAGCTGTGTGTGTGGCTATTTAAGATGTGTCATTGGTTTCCAAAAAGGAAAGCTGGAAAATGCAGTTTGAATGTTGGTGTTCCCACAGTTAGGTGACAGTTCCTTGCTGACGCTGCTTTGCCCACGTAAATACATTGACTCTCAGTCTTTGACTGGGATGTGCTCAATAGCAGATCATCTCAAATCCTTGAGCCCTCAGTCTAGTGAAGATGTTGTCATGTACAATAAAGGACTAGTTGAATTAACTGTGTGATGTTAACTATTAATAAATAAATTTTAACATTTTTCAAAATATTCAGTGTGTGATTCATGAGCATTTTTCAAGAGTGCAGTCATCTTTTGAGCATATTAGTACTTCCTGGCCCATCTGAGTAGTTGATGAGTGTTTTGATTTTGACCATATGTGCTTGACAGGCATGTAGCTAACTCTTTGGCCTTGACCTCAGATATTTCTCACTCCAGAAACACAGTCCCAATGGAATGGGAAGGTAGGTGACTTTTCCTAGGCTGTCTTTGAGCCCCTAGATTTCAAGCACCACTGAAGAACCATGGCTGGCCCAGCAGTCTACTGTTTAAACAGTTTGGCTGAGATGTAGCAGAACCCTCAGAGACTCTGGGTAGTCTCTGTATAGGCATATGTGATTCACATTCAGGATGTAAAGCCCTTACTTATATGCCCATCTAAAAAGCACTTGCCTCTGTCCTATCCTTACAGTCTTTCAAACCCTCTCCTTAATAAGCAAAATACAAACCTAGGAAATAAACTTCTCACAAGTTCCTGGTGATACCCACTGACTTTGACATGGCCCTGTTTGAAAGGGGAGGCAGATCAAGGCTAACAGAATGCTAGAGATAGCCAAAACACAAAATTCAACCTAGCTAGTGGTAAAGGAAAAGAAATTTAAATTAGACCCTATTTTTATGACTTCAAATTGGTGAGATTATAGGAGCATTCTCATATACTATTGGTGGAAATGCAAGGTATAATTATTTAGGAGGGAAATAGTCAATATCCATGTTTTGTGTAATTTTCTAGAAATTTGTGCAGAGGAAGTACACATAGTTGGAGACCAAGATTTAGCTTTAAGGGTACTGGCGACTGTATAACTTAAAATAACAAAATAGGGGAACTCCATACCATGGGTCTGCCTACCTAGTACCAAGTTCCAGTCAGGAAGACAATCTACTCCAGTTATTTCGAACAGATTTTAACACAAGGACTTGGTTATGCAAGTGATAGGAGAGCTGAGAAGTCCCACAGTATAGAGGAGCAACCCAGAGATTAGCAACATCAAAAAAACCACTTCTATCCCAATGGCTGGGCCAGATTCCGAAAGCTGGAACCACAGAGCTGGAGTGGAAGGTGGTTAGAAATACCCTGTCTTCTCCCTCCTACCCTCTAGTTTTCTGCAGTGTCTCCGGTTGACTGACCCTACCTGTGAGGCAGGGGAGGTTGGGACCTGGAGCTAAATAATAAGTGAGGTGCATTTTCCCTGTAAAACCATTACAGTGTTACTGAAGGATATTTGGTATCATAGAAAATGTTGACAGTATGCTGAAAGTATGTTACAAAACAGTATGGGGCCTTAGCCCCATTCCTCAGCAGCTCTCCGTCAGATTTCCCCACCTCTGCGACTTGGGCACCCCTGTGGGGCTCTGGAGCAGGCCACTCTGCTGGGCCTGCCAGCTTCAGCTGCCAGCTGCTCAGGGCAACTTTGGCAGCACCGCCCTCCTTAGGTTGCTGCTGCTCCATCACAGAGCCTCAGAGAAGAGCCCTCCCTTTTCCCAGTGGGGCTCCTGGGTGGACATAGACCTTTAATTCCCCATAGATTATAATACTGGACAAGATGCTCAGAAGGGAGTTTTCTCAGGTTTCTGCACCCAGAGACCCTGAAAGCCTCTGGGCCACCCATACTCACGGGTTTCCTACAGTCTTCTCCCTCCGCAACTCCCACCTCCTCTGTAGGGCTCCTCATCACTGGGAAATCTATTTCCTGCACCCAGGTTGCTTCCAGCTTGGAAATAGCTTTTCCATCCTCTGCCAGCCTGTCTTACCTTTCATTCCCTTCTTTGTTGCTTTGTTTTCATTTTTTGGGGGCACCAGCGGCAGAAGGCTAGATTACTCACACCCCGCCCCCCCCTCAATTCAAGGCATTTTCTAGTCTTTGCAAGGAGTTTTCTTGCATTTTTATTTTCTTACTGCCTTTTATCCTCTTGTCCATTCTCCACTCACAAGTGGCAACCATGTTATTGTATTGATGTGCAGTTTATTTGTGTGTCTTGTATGCATGCTTTTTTAAAATGAATTTTTATTGGAGTATAGTTGCTTTACAATGTTGTGTTAATTTCTACTGTACAGCAAAGTGAATCAGTTATACATATTCATATATCCCCTCTCTTTTGGATTTCCTTCCCATTTAGGTCACCACAGAGCACTGAGTAGGGTTCCCTGAGTTATACAGTAGGTTCTCATCAGTTATCTATTTTATACATAGTATCAGTAGTGTATATGTCAATCCCAAGCTCCCAATTCATCCCACCCCCCTACCTTTCCTCACGTCTCTACAAATGACCCAATTTCGTTCCTTTTTTTTTTTTTTTTTTTTTTTGCGGTACGCGGGCCTCTCACTGTTGTGGCCTCTCCCGTTGCGGAGCACAGGCTCTGGACGCCCAGGCTCAGCGGCCATGGCTCACTGGCCTAGCCGCTCCGTGGCATGTGGAATCTTCCCAGACTGGGGCACGAACCCGTGTCCCCTGCATAGGCAGGCGGACTTTCAACCACTGCGCCACCAGGGAAGCCCCTCGTTCCTTTTTATGTGTGAATAATATTCCATTGTATTATGCACCACATCTTCTTTATCCTTTCCTCTGTTGATGCTTTTTTTAATTTACAAAATGCTATTGGCTAAAAATTGCTTTTTGCCTTTTTTTTTTTTTAAAGACTCATGGATGCTGCTATTGGGTATATCTGACTCTTTACTTCCAGTTATTGCATAAATATCCCACTGTGTGCATGCACTTTTTTTTCCCACCTGTACTTCCAGTGATGGACATGTGGATTGACTCAGCTCCAGCTACACCAACATCACAGCAACAAGCATCCTTGCACATTAATCATCTTTGTAATTATCTCACTGGGCATGTACCCACCCAGGAGCAGGAGAGCTGGAGCATAGGTTGTGCTTTTGCTTAATTTGACGCTCTCCTGCCAAGTTACTCTCCCGAAAGTCTGCCCCAGGCCACTAATCTCGCCAGCAGCGAATTGTTGCAACATTTGACATTATCCTGTTTTCTACTTTTTATTAATGTGCTTAAAATGAGTTCGTATGATTGGTTTTTTTAAATCTTTTTTTACATCTTTATTGGAGTATAATTGCTTTACAATGGTGTGTTAGTTTCTGCTTTATAACAAAGTGAATCAGTAGTACATATACATATATTCCCATATCTTTTCCCTCTTGCGTCTCCCTCCCTCCCACCCTCCCTATCCCACCCCTT